GTTGTATTATGTTATTATTATAACTTTATTTATGTAATACTGAGGTAAGATTTAAGGTATTGTAAATAGTGATTGGTTTTGTATTATAATTATATTCTAACAAGGATTATTGCGGTTTAATGTTGATTTTTAAAGATAATATTGTGTGCACGTATGTAGAACTCAAAAACACCAAAATAAAAATTACCTCGATGAACCCTCTTCGATTTCCTTCTTCTTTCGCTCTTTCGCTTCCATTTTCTTTTCCCTTCCTTTTTCTTGGGTTTCTCGGCCTGCATTGTCGATTCCTCTTCGGTTTCCATTATCACGGGCTCCTCCGTCTCCATTCTCACTGGCTCTCTTCTGTTTCCAACGACAAATCTAAAAGCCTGAGTTTATCTGATTCAAAAACCCTAAAAGATAGAATGAAGATCGAATGAAGGTGCTCCGTGCTCTCGTTTGGTTTTCGTCGTTTGGTTTTTCGATGAAATAAACTTTCTTTCAGGCGCTCTGTTAATTTTTACTTGTTTCGAGCCAGATTCAGGCCGGGTCGCGCCATAGACATGCCTCAATTTTATTTTTTAAGTTGTGGAGCCCACTGTCCCTGATGTCATGTTTTCAAATCTCCTGCTTCTGGATCATCGGATTTAACTCCAGTAGGGTTTTCAACCTAATTATGCAGCATGGAAAGCCGTAGATAAGATCCCCTCTCTCCTAAATCCTGCCGCTTAAATTCTCGTCGCCGGTGGAGCCTCCTCTCACATTACTTCTTCAATAGAATGGAGTCAGGGTCAAGAGGTGAAGAGGCTATTCCGTACGACAATGCTGCTTCCAAGAGAGCTCGTCTGCAGTCGATGCTCTTAGCTTTTCTTGATGATCCGATTCTGGCAGACGTTCCGAAGAAACCTACGATTACAGATGTCGATACCTTAATCAACTTGGAGCTAGGCAGTGCTATGAAGTTAACTGTTGTGAAGATGGACAACACCAATTTTGGTTAGTTTTTATTTTAGTTGGAAAGACATCTATCGTTGAAGTTTGTTTTTCTGACTTGCATGTTTCCAGATGTTGCAGTACTGAATTCTTCTACCGTTAAGGACTTGAAAATGGCTGTTGAAAGGAAAACGAATGAGATAGAGCAAGGAAAAATGGGTCACAGGCATATATCATGGTATTATTATATATAGATTATAGTATTTTACTCAGTTTTTTTATTTATTTTCTTAAATTATTGATTGTTGAGGATTCCATTGTCTTTCTTGCGGGTTAAGATTGGCTCCTTATTAGGCTTAAGAGAATCTTTTCTAGTTATCTTTTTTAATAGCTATATCTTGTCCTGTTACTAGGTTAAGTAATACGTGCTAGAGTAGGTCTGTTTTCCATATATTGCATTCAGAGCTAGTACCTGGTTGAATTGGCTCAATTGGTTCTATTTGAATTATCTTTTTTTTTTTTTGGTTTGATTCAGAAGGTATGCTTAATTCAATCTGGAGAAAAGCATATTTGCTATGCCCTCTGTGAGTTAATGACTTATTTAGGAATGACCCATTTTTTGATGGTTTTGAGTAGCTTCCGAGGGACAATGATGAATTTGGACATTTGGAGTTATGAAGCGTTGTAGGTATGGATATTGTGTTTTTTGTAGGGCTGTAAGTGAGCCAAGCCGACTCGGGCTTGACTCTATAATTTGCTCATGAGCCAGTAAGCCAAGCTTAAGCTAGCCCTATTCCACTTGTTAGCTTGTGAGTTTGCTTGTTTTTAAAAAATATTAATATAATATTGACTTAAAATATACTCAAATTTAAGACTATCTTTAAATTATTAGAAATTCTTATAAAAATAATATTTTACATTTTATATAAGGTGATTTCTTATTATTTATCTTGTAATTGTTCATTCTATTTGTCATTTTATTATACAGCTAGATTGAATTAATATTTCTATCTCTTTTTCATAATAAAAAAGCTAGCTAAAATACGTAGAATTAACTTAAATTGGAGCTCAAACTTGATTGTTTAACCTAGCTCAAGCTGAAGTTGATGGTGACTGAAGCTTATTCAACTGGTTTGCAACCCTATTTTTTGCATGAATTGCTAGAAAACCTTCTTTGAAGTGGACTAGGGTTTTGAAATTAACGAGTTTTCTCTAGAGTTGCTAACTTTGTTCTTGGCCTTGGCCAATTTCATACAATAGACCTATATGATTTCAAATATACGGAATTTGATTTCGTGGACAACTGCAAAAGTATGGTACATAATTCTAGCTTGAGCGCAAAAGGCTTTGATCCTTTTGTTTTGGGGAATAATTTCTTATCAGATTTAAATTTGCTTTTTGGGTGTATTGGTGGATCTATGCCTACGTGAAGGACCATACATGGGTAATTATTGAAGCAGTGTTATTAATAGTTTATCATATTGAAGTTTCGGTGCCATGCTTTAAAACCTATTTCTAATGAATGTTGTGTTTGAGTTACAACTCATGTTTGTTACATTCCTTGGCAAGGAAGGGGTGAAACCAGTTCTATACACTTGTTTGGTGCTTGAGTCATGCAATTTAAGTAGCCAATGCCTCATGCGAGGTAACTTATATTTAACATAATATCCTGATCTCATCAAACTTGAAGTTTTGGGCCCTGTTGATACATTTCATAGTCTATATTGCACCAATATTCTCAACAATAAATTTTCTAGATTTCGTCCTATATGTCCCAATAATATGGTTTTAGATTTTCCATACAAGGACAAGAATTTTTTTTTTTTGTTTATCTTAAATGTTATTGTACTTATTACAGGAGGCATGTCTGGGCTAACTATTGCTTATGTTACCATAACGAGAAGCTCCTTGATGATGCCTCTTTACTTTCTAACTATGGCCTTCGAAACAATTCCAAGGTTAGTTACACCATTCAAGACATGATTACCTCCCAGCTAAGCATCACATAACTGATATCTGATATATTTGTAATTTCAGTAGTATTCCAGCTTGAAAATAGAAAATGAACGGATAAAAGTGATGTACAATACAGAGCAAGAACTGCACTTGACATGCAAATTATGTTTGATTCTACTGTTATATGGTTGAAATAATGCTGGATGAATGAATCAACAAAAAATTTTAACAGGAGATTTTTTTTTTGTTCGGGCTATGCTAATATTGGCATGAACTAATATTTTATTGTTTTTAATTCCGTGTTCGTTTATGTTGTGTTGCACGTGTATAGATTATATCTTTCGCCATCAATGTTACAAATGCAAAATTATAATTTCTCTCTTGAATTTGGAACTCAGTAAACTAAAGAATTCATTTATGGTAGCTCCAATTTTTAGAAACATTAATTTGTCACATTCAATGAATGCGTTACAAATGAAATATGAGAAATGTATTATTCTAGATTTAAACTCAGCTTACGATTTCTTTAGGTACTTACCGCGTTACATTAGAAAATATCACAAGAAACCTTGATGTTCTACCAAATATCATTCTAGATGTTATAAGGAGCCAGCTTTTTTATGGTTGTATATCTAAATCTTTAGAAACTTTTGCCAGAAAATTTGATAATTAGCAGCATTAGAAAGCTGGTATGATTTTGTATCAGAAACATGATTATTAATGATTTTTTTGGTGTTTATGTTTGCTTATTTTTTTCTATAGTAAGCTGAAATTATTTAGCCAAACCAGATTCTGAATAATCGGAGAAAACATACTTTAACATCCAAATTAACGAATTATAAGTATGTTTAAATAACTATAGCTATACTTGAGTTTAGTTTTTTTTATACCTCCAATTCTTCACCTACTTACCCCGTGACATTAGAAAATATCACAAGAAACCTTGATGTTCTACCAAATATCATTCTAGATGTTATAAGGAGCCAGCTTTCTTATCGTTGTATATCTAAATCTTTAGAAACTTTTGCCAGAAAATTTGATAATTAGCAGCATTAGAAAGTTCGTATGATTTTGTATCAGAAACATGATTATTAATGATTTTTTTGGTGTTTATGTTTGCTTATTTTTTTCTATACTAAGCTGAAATTATTTAGCCAAACCAGATTCTGAATAATCGGAGAAAACATACTTTAAAATCCAAATTAACGAATTATAAGTATGTTTAAATAACTATAGCTATACTTGAGTTTAGTTTTTTGATACCTCCAATTTCATGGAGAGAATGATGGAAGAAAGCTTAAGAAAATCACTTGAATATGACAAGATTAATTTGATTTTATTCTAGGAAGATCATTGAAAGGCTTACACAAAATTTCAAGATTGGGTATCTTGTACCATATGCGGATGATATTTACTTGATATGAGATTGTGTTTGAAGTAATCAAAACAATATTTGATGATTTTAGAAGATTTGTGGTTTGTGATTTATATGACAAATGTTGTTATATAAGATGTATAATTATAGTGGAAAAAACTAACAATGATTAGCTTATATGGAAGAATAATCAAGAGATGTGTTGGTATGAGTCATTTTGGATGTCATTGCTCTGTTCTACAAAAGAATAAAAATATATTGGTGAATTAAGAGAAGTATTTTATGGGTGTTATTTGTTAAAAAATATCATTGATGTTTAAAGCAAAATCTTTTTTTGCAACCATATTGAAACCTTGAGTTTCTAGTCTTAGAAAAAGAAAACTCAATAAAAAATAACCAAGTATATTAGACATAAAAAATTTAAAATATTATGTGTGTCAAATTTTGGGCTGGGCACAAAATTATTATTCTCATGTGTTGATTTTGGAGTAATAACTTATATTGAAGATAAAATTGTAGAAATTAGAAAATATACCGGGATTTTAATAATTTATAATTCATAGTAAAATTAAGTACAAAAATAGAAATTGAAACTAAAATTTAATCAATTGAAATGAAAAATGGAGTACAAGTATTATTTTTTAAGATTGCTGTTTTCCTCAAATATATGATTCTTTATGTAGAAGGTTACAACTCTCCAGGATAAAATAACTTCCCACACATCGTAATGTTGTTAGTGAAGAACACAGTAACACACCTCCTCTTTCTAAATTTGACAACAACTCACCATGTTTTTTGAAAATGTGCATTTTGCATTAGAGAAACAAAATGGTCACAAAAGGTACTGAAAAAAACCCAAAAACTATGCCTCTTGGACATTTACAAAATAGGCGCAATCCTCCTGCAAAACCAAAAAAAAGAGGATCATGGGCATTTACATGATTCAAAAGAAAATCACTGTCCAAAATCATATTTGCACAAGTATGAGCAGCTATGTTGTTTTCATTATTGGTGTGTTGAAACAAAACTTGCTTAAATTTGTCGGTGCCTATTCAGTTCTTTTAATAGAGTCCGAAAGCAATAATTCTCCATGATCAAAATTTCTTACTTGGAGCTATCACAAATTTTGTAAAAAAAGGAAAATGAAAAGGTAGAACTAATCTCAGTCAGATTTAAATAATCCTTTGGGGACAAACTTCATAGAACGACAGTTTTGCTGTTTCTTTTTCAAGAGAGAGGGAGGTCTAGAACATGTATTGGTGGCTATAGTGTTTTAAGCGTCTTTAGTAGGGATGATTATGCGAGAAGGAAAAAAACCTTAATCTCAAGTAACATTTACATGCATACCGCCTGATACCTATGTATTTACATATCCAACACCTAAACTTTACTTAATACATTAATACCACCCAAATCTTTCATCTTAAATAAAAATACTACCGTTTTAACTTTTAGAAAGTTAAGTACGCCTTTTCATTCAATGGTAAGGAGGTATGTATGTAAATATTGCAGTTTAGGTGTTAGATATGTAAATACGTAAGAATTGAGTGGTATGTATGTAAATCTTCCTAATCTCAATGCTTTTAGTGGTCGCCCAACCTCTTTTACAATGGACATGTTGTACAAAGTTCAAAAGCAATGGGTTGTGCGAGTGTGCATGTTTGTTTTTATACACACTCAAATTTAGCAACTATCCATCACTTAATAATAAAATTTTCCGGATCTCCATCACCACTGACAATCATTTTGAAGTTGACTGCTCATATCACAATTGTCATGATAATATGGAGATATGTAGAAATGAAAGTTTAGGTTTGAGATATGTAAATACATAATATCTCTGAGCTACGCATGTAAATTTCCCTTGAATTTAATGCCCTCAACATCCATGTCAGATGTTGTGTTCTTTTCAACCCTAACAATGTTTGTTCGTATTTTCGGGGCATGCGAGCCACTTCCCGCAAGATATTTCATTCTTTTTCAAAGTAGCGAGACTGATTAGAGTTATTAAAAAACGCTAACTACAGGCTTTTATGAGTTCCAAGTTAAGTGCCACACTTACTGATTCGTTGAGCTAGTTTAAGAAGGGCGACAATAACATATTTGCCTTCATTGTTCTTGCAGGTTCATTTTTTTCCTTGTGTGACTTCTAAACTGTCTCAGAAGCATTCCAGAAGAAGGAAGCATCGCTTCTTCCATGGTCTAAGCAAGAGATCTGGAATCTGATCTGTTACCACATTTTTTTTTGAAAAAATTAAAACCATAAATCAGTGGCCTTCAATTTGGTCTGCCAGAACTAAATCCATTAACTTATTGGCCTATGCTGAATCGCGTTTCCTCTTTCCTGCCTGCAACTTTTTGGATGATCTGATCTTTGATTTTGATTCCTACTCATTCATGCTGATTTAACCTCAGAACGAGATCGTCTCAAAGCCATTCCAATCTGATCAACCGAATCAGGTTTGGCTTGTTTGCATATGCATACATGCCCCACAACTCTTATGTATCTCACATCTGGCACATAAACATTCATATTTACATGAATGCCGCCGCCTAAATCTTTCACATTACATCAAAAATAGATAGGAATTAGTTGGTGAAATGCACTTAGCATACATGTAAAAATTGAAGTTAGGTATTAGATATGCACGTACTCTTAAAGTTGATTTTGCAACTTTACTTGCCAAAATAAAATGAATGGGACACTTGAAACAATCTAAATTGCCCGAGTTTTTTGAATTTGGTAATTCAACATAAACAACAAACCTTATCAGACTTTACATGATGTTCCTAGGGGTGTAAACGAGCCGAACACGAGCGAGCCAAGCTCAGCTCGTGTTCGAGCTCAAAAAGTGTTCGGCTCGTTTATATTTCGAGCTCAAAAAGTGTGTTCGTGTTCGGCTCGTTTGCTT